TAAATAAAATGGCTCCGTCAGTGTTAAAATATATATTTTTAAATATACAAAACTAAACGTCCTACAGTATTTTTTGAGTCTTTATTTTACAGTTAAAATAAATGTTTATCAAGTAAAGTCTAATGTTACAACTAAACATGGATCCCTTTAACTCAAACATCTGGATCATTCAGACAGAAAAAGACTCCTAATCTGATGGGATTAATCAGGGTTGTGTCAAAACAAAGACAGATTTAATCTTTAGTCTTTTCTGTTTGAACATGAAGTTTTCCTTTACGTTTTGCTGCATCTATAAAATAAGTGTATTAATTGACTGAATGAAGACGGCACCTTGTAAACTGTAAATGTGTGATTTGCAGCTGAAAACATTTTCCTCTCCAGTCCAGTCCAGAACAGAACAGAACAGAACACCCACACAGCTCAACTATTCTTATCATCACCATAGAGATGAGTGTGCTGTGATGACGTCACACAGCCTGGATGGACTCATCCACCAGCTGCTGCAGCTGATTTTAACATATTTTTCCTCCTGTGTGTCCACGCTCAGCCTGAAATATTTACACCCATCAGTCCATGCTTTTCTGTCTAAACACAAACACAACTCCCAGCACACACCTGAGCGTGGAGCGCCCCCCGCAGGTAGCACTCCCTCCACAGGCCCACACAGGGCCCCATGAGGAGGGGCAGCAGGGGCTCGTAGGGGTCCAGAGGCCCCTGCGGTGCAGAGGAGGAGGGGACGCTGTGAGGGGCCTCGGTGAGGGCCCAGGCCTTCAGCAGCCTCTCCAGGCCGGGCACGCCCTCGGAGGACGGCGCCCTCCGGTGGCTCTTCCTGTAAACGCCTGCGGTGCCGCTGCGCCACGGCGGCAGGTTGGCGGGGCAGGTGAAGGAGCCCCGGGAGAGCAGGAACACCGAGCCGGGGACGGTATCGCTCAGCTGGAGACAGAAAGCACAGTTAGGAAAACCTCAGACATCTTTAAGAGTTCCTTAACTGATCAGAGAAGGAAAATTAGGATTTTATTTATTGGAATTGATTTTAAAAGCTGGAATTAATAAAAAAAATTACCAAACTTTTTAAAAGACATTTCTTAAAGGACCTGTGACATCAATTTTTTGTAATAAACATGAATGTATTTTTGGAAAGAGAACATTGATAACATACTGCAAAACAAATTTCACCCCGCTGAGATGAACAGTTGTTGAGATATTTGCCTGTGAAGAAACAGGAAGTGATGTCAGAGGGGAATGTCTGCATGTAAACAGAGCGTTGTTACAACAGCTAACAGACTGTAGAGAAGATGTTTTTTAGATTATTTTGAGTCTCTATCAGAGGGATGAAGAAGAGTTAAAGTTTAAATAATATTGTTTTAATAAACAAAGACCAGAGAGTTTATTTATTAAAGAGTTCCCCTTTGATGTCACTTCCTGTTTCACTCTGGCTGAGCCAAGTCCAAAAGAAAAGAGGCCAGTTATGAGACAAAATGTGTAAAATCATGTGTTTTATGACAATTTTCCTAAGAATAAAGATGCTTTCTTTGACTTTTTGTATTTGAAGGTTAGGCATGTCACAGGCACTTTAAAAATATTAATTCAAAATCAATTTTCAACTCTAAATATGATTGTGGTCTGATCAATCACATTTATCTAAAACAAACAAATATTGATGCATGATGTCTTTTAACTTAAATTAAATAATCTCAATAATCTCTGTTTATTCTGCACTCTTCAACCTAAAGCAGAACTTTGATGAGAAACTAATTGAAACTAAAGACTTGTTTTGAAGCTACCACCAGAGGGCGCTGTTGCATCGTACAAACAGAACACCAGGAAAAAGATCTGCTTAAAACAATCCCTGATCCATCAGACCACCTCACACTTCTGATCTGAACTTGTTTTACAAAGTAGATGCTTTCAGATGCTGGACCCTCGGGATTAAACGGTGAGACAGGTGTACCCTGTGAGCGTCTGGCTTGGTGTTGAGGTTGCCGTTGAGAAGAGGTTGGAGCGGGGGGATGGGTGGGATGGGTTGGGTGAAGCGAACTTGTCTCTCCTGGCTGTACTGCAGAGCCCAGTCCCACACGGGGGGCAGAGGAGGATCAGACGGGTCTGAGGAAGGCTCGGGGTTCAGGACGTCTCTCCAGCCGTTGACAGGGGTGTAGGACTGGCCGGGGTTCTGGGGACGGATCAGAAAGTTGTGATTAAATGTCTGCATGTTACAATCACATCTCAGGTGCAAGTAGGCCCGCCTCCTCCAGGTGTCTGGTACCCGTAAACGTTTGCATCGCTCCCGCTGGCAGTTTGCCAGGAAGGTGGAGAAGAGCGGCAGGTGGACGCTGTCGTGCAAGGCCAACAGGAAGTCGTTCGTCAGCTGGAAGCGGGAGGGAAACTGGAACCACAGCTGCCAAACACAGTCCAGGAAGAGCAGGAAGACTGGAGACTGACGGGAGAAGAAATACAAATATTCATGAAGATGAAGAGAGCTGAGTACAGACAGGACAGTAGCAGGCTCTGTGTGTATCGTAGGCAGTGTAGGCAAGTGCTAACGGTGCCGTCCATACAGAGGGCGCCTCAAAAATATTTTATGACTTTTTATCAGAGTCTAGTTGATTTAGTCTGAAGAATAACTCCTGGTTACTCAGGTGTTTTTGTTAAATGCTGTAGAGGATTGTTGTGATAAAAGTATATGATGCAGACTGTTGTGTAAATAAAACAAAACATGGATAAGTTTTGGTTCTGATCTCAGGTTAAAGTTTAGTTTTCAGTGTTCTACCTTCATAAATTACTGATTTGTGTTTTAAAGATTTAGTAAAATGCTCTTCAAATGGATAAAAAAAGCAGAGTTTTGAGTAGATCTTTAATAAAATATATTTGGTGTGTGAATGTATGTCTACTGGCAGAGATGTGTAGAAAATTGAGGGTGCCACCTGAAATTTTGCCTGAAGTATCAAATTGACTGGGAATGGTTCTCTGCAGTCATTAAGTCAGAGTTTTTTATTTTGTGGGAGGAGCTGATCCAAGATGTGATTGGTTGGATTCACTGTAAGATTTTATTTTTTTAATATAAAGATTAATATTAATCAGAACTCGAGACAGGAAGCCACATGCTATTTAAGACAATAAATTATGTTTACATGAACAATAATTTTTATTTGAGTCATTCTGTTTTAAACTGTATATAAATCAATGTATCATAATATTTTAATATTATAATTAATTCCTCTTTTAAGTTGCCCCACAAGACAAGTCAATCTGACCAATCGCGGTTAGGGTAAACTCCGCCCACAGGACGATATGAACTACAGAGACCCTAATGGACGAGGACCGGCCCTGATAAAACACAAATGAACTCTTTGATTGAAACTCCACCCTGCTGTGCTTTGACTACAGATCAGGATGAGATGAGTCAGTTTCAGGAAGCTTCAGATGGTGGGGGTTGATAAGACTTCTATCTGCAGCTTTGAAACAACACATGCAGGCTCCCGCCTCACACAGCTTTATTTAAAACACTCAACATAAATGCAAAAGTTATCTTTTCACTTGTTTGTCGTGCCTAACACAACGTTGCTATTTCCAGTTTGACACCTCATTATCACAGCATGACATGTGGTACCACGGTCACTTCCTGTGGCACCACGGTCACTTCCTGCTGCACCACGGTCACTTCCTGTGGTACCACGGTCACTTCCTGCTGCACCACAACCTTGTATTAGCAGCTCAGTGGGACCACAGCAGACGCCTCACCTCCTCCTTGTCACTGTCACGCTGGTAGTTGATCCGGCTGTAGAAGCGGTGGCCGGCCAGCACCCACTCCTTCTGCACCAGGCCCTGGAAGCCCCTCTGGGTCCGACAGTGGGGGTCGCACATCACCTGCACCAGGCTGGACACCACGCAGCTCAAGTCCCGGTCCTCCACCTCTGCAGGGTCAGAGCAGAGTTTAAAAAGGTCTGACTGTTCCCATTGGACCAAATCTTAAGTGTTCAGATTCAAGTTAATGACTTAAAACACTGGCAGGACCACATATTTATGAGTCATCACTTGTAAAATGTGCTGAGTAACTTTTAATACCATCAGACTGCAGTGCTGCACTACAGAGACACATAAATCTTTCATTTCTAACCACCGTTTAATTCAACAACATTTCTCTCAAAGCAAACAGAGACCGAGGACGAGAGGCAGACAGAAGAGCTGCAGGAGAAACGACGAACAAGGACTGTGCTGCAGACATGAAAGCACCGAGAGAGAAATAAAAGCCTCCTGGGGGATTTAGTAACGCTCAGCAGAACATTTCCTTCTGATTGAGTCGGTGCAGGAAGACTGAGCTGAAGATCAAACTGATTGTTAGGTTCAGAGGTGCAGAAAGGTTCAACATCTTCAGCTGAGAGGAATTATTCAGTCAGGTCTGTGCCTCTGGAGGGGTTCATCAAAAACTGGAGGTCAAGTGATTAGAAATATCTCTAATTATCATTTATCTTTAATAATAAAACATGCAGCTGCTTGATAAACAGTCACTGTTCCAGAAACAGACAAAAACCTGATCCACAACAAACAAACACTTAGTTTCACATCACAAACCTGCAGAAAAGCAACCGTCTAAAGAGGAACACAACCTGATAAACTGAAGCTGGAGCCAAATGTCTGTTTCAAGAATGTCTCTCTTCTTGTTTGATCACAAAGTGGATTTTTTCTTCAAACAATCCCAAAAACAGGAGAATCAACAAAAATAAAAAAATTTATTAATGCTCCTACACCTCCTAAACACTGCAGCATCAAACCAAGGTTATAATAGTTTTGGATTTTTCATTAAAGTTTAGTTTTATTTCATTTTGACATTTTTTCTTTTAATTCGGTTAGTTTTAATTAGTTTTTAGAGTGGATTTGCTCGTTTTTATAATGCTTTGTTTTAGTTTGGTTTAGTTTTTATTAGTTCCAGTGTAGTTTTTTTTTCTAGTTTGAATAAACATATTTGCCAATGCATCCTCCAGCTTGTGATGTTCCTGTGAGTTAACCAACCAACAGCTATTTGTTTGTTAGTTAAAGCAGTCCATTATAGCGACACCTTCCTAAAATAATTGTGTAACTCAATTTTGCCAACTAAAAACTTGGGCGATTATTTTAGGATGATGACAATAGTTGTCTGCAACCCGGTGTTACCTGCTGCTTGTTTTTCAGAGATCCACATGTCTCAAAATAAATTGACAAACACTAAAACTAAGGGTATAATCTATAATTTCAGTTCGTTTTAGTTAGTTTTGTAAAAAGATTATACAGTTTTAGTTGGATGTTTTTTCATTTTATTACAGTTTTATTTATTTTAGTTAAAAATGTTTTTTCAATTTCAGTTTTCATTATTTAGTTAGTTTTGGTTAACTATAATAACTCTGCATCAAACTAGAAGAAACAAATCCACACAAATACAGAGAGTTGAGGCTGCAGGGAAAGTCATCCTCATCTTCATCAGCAAGTCAAACACACTGGATTTACTGCAAAATACAGCGGGTAAAATAAGTATTGAACATGTCACCATTTTTCTCAGTAAATATATTAGTAGAGGTGCTAATGACAAAAAATTTTCACCAGATGTTGGTAACAACCCAAGTGATCCATACATACAAAGAAATCAAACCATAAATGTCCAGAAATGAAGTTATTTGTAATAATGTTGAATGGCACAGGGAAAATGTATTGAACACACTTACTGAAATCTATC